TGTGTGTGTGTGTGTGCGCGGGGTGAGCGCGTCCCGCCGCCGCCAGCCCGGCGCGCTGCCCGCCCGCCGCTTTGTTGCCGGCGGTCGGGGCCACTGTGGGGCGGGACGGGAGGGGGAGAGACGGAGAGAGACCGAGTGAGCGAGTCTGGGGGAAAGAGTGTGCGAGAGACTCGGAGTGCGAGGCGGAGAGAGCCGGGGCGTGTGTGCGAGGGAGCGGGAAGGAGCGCGGGAGTGCCCGTGCGGGAGCGGCGGGAGGGTGCGGGTGCGTGTGCCCGCCTGAGCCGGGCTGGCGGTCCGGGCAGCCCGCGGCTCTGCCGCCCGTCCCCGCCTGCCGGGAGAGGAGAAATACCTACGTCCCTTCCGCGGTGTGTGCGTGAGGAAATGCCTCTGTTCTTTTATTCTTTTTGCATGTGTGTGTGTGTGTGTAAATACCCAGGGATCGTGTCTATCTCTGCAAAGTTCATGCATCAGATATCCCAAGGAAAATCCCTCCTTTTAATCTAGRGAAAAGTGAAATAGCCGGGAATTGCCTTTCCATCCCTTTGGTGCGGACAGGACAGGGGTGAGGGGCGTTAWCGACAACTCTGTCGTGGGATTTATCTTCACCCTCTTTACTTCCACCGSCGAGCCGGGCAATATCCAGAGCAATCTAACTCGCTTCTGAAAAGGCTCCGTGGCTCTGGGGACCCGGTCCATTCCCACTTCATTAAGAAACTGTCTCCCTTACCCTACTGTATCTGTTTTCATGATTCTGCATTACTGTTTGCTAAGTGTAACAGAGCACATTGTTTATGTTGTTTTTCCGTTTTGGAGTATGTCTGGGTTCTCTCCATTCTAGGAATTTTACAATAGTTACGCACGGTACAGCACGTATGGTTGTACACGTCCGTATGCGTGTCTTCTGCGAAGTTGGGTTTGGTTCAGCTCCAGCCGAGTGCGTAGAAAGATGACAATGCTGGAAAGATAGGCTGCTGGTTACGTTGTGATTTTGTATCTACACGAACTTTATCTTTTATTCATCTCTTATACAGACTGAATTGTTTAAGTAACATGCCGTTACTAACGTTGCATCKGTTTCTAGTAGTGGGTAATGATATCTTACTACTGTTATTTGCTTAGTGTATTTGTGAAGCAGTTTCCTTATAAAAATGTTTTCACCTTGTTATACAAATTCCTAGATAGGAAGTTCAGCCTCTCCTATGTAAATAATTGTAAGGTATTAGACAAACACTTACCTACAGATGTCTCTGTGAGCTGTAATGAGGTATTGTCGTAGGCTTGGGCACTGCTAAATTCTGATGTGGCTCATTATACATCCCCCMACATTTTGTAATAATGCAGCATTAGTGAAGATGCTGTGATATGGTGTCGCTACTGTACGCTCTTATTTCTTGTGATCGTAACAGAAGTTTTACTGCAGTAAAATACTCACTCACCTTTGCCAAAATAGTTTTGGCAGCAGATGTTGCTATAGTACTTGTTTCTCTGTGCTCTRAGCTGACAAACGTGCATTCAAAAGTCTATAAAATACATCAATTGCTATCCTAACTTYACTCTTTTAAGTTGCTGCTGCAGTTACCATTGTAAGCTGTATTTTGTTTGACAAATGTCCGTAAAGGAATTTATTGTGCATTGAGTAACATTGCTATCCCTATGTGGTCTAATACATGGAAAAGTTAAAAGTCTCTGGAGAACAAAGGCTGAGCCACTGCTGTGGAGAAGGGCTAAGAGTCTTATTTTCATGATGTCATATCGCCTCACATTTCCCCCCAGAAGAGTAATGATTTGCTAAAATCTAGTAGAATGTAAGATGATACACTGCTGTATAGAAGTGGTGGAGATACACAAGGTCCACAGTGTGGCTTTGTCCAGCYTCCTGGGGTTGCCAAGTTCTGCAGAGCTTGTCCCAAGTCTGTTATGGGAATGATATGTGCTGCTGCTCAGACCAACTACAGTCTTGCACTGATCTTTACTACTTGTATAGTCACGTATGTTTGCAAATCACAATGAAAGATTGATGCCAAAATTGCTACTCCTTACAGTGTTTTATGTTAGGACCCTGATGGTTCATTATGACTTTGTTTTCTTGGGATACATCAATAATGTATTACTGCAAGGTTTGATTAAATCAATTTCTTTCCATAGACAAGTAAACAATGAAGTGATTGATACCTACTCACAAAAAACGACTCATGACTTACCTAGATCAATATGTTGTAAAATTATATACTGCTGAATTATTTTTAGGAAAAAGAGAGTGAATTAATATGTGGAGCAACTACGTGGATATTTACATTGTAGATTTTTTACAAAAGCCCTTACATTGCAATARTATTAGGTTTTAAAAGTAAAGTGCTAAAAAGTGTAAAATGACACAGGTAGCATTGTTAATAATGCGTTATCACTCTATTGTTCATGTCCATGTGTTACTATCTACACTTTAAATGATGTACTTACATGTCAGTTTCCCAACTATTTTAAGTTCACTCCCTGGAGTTGCTGATATGATTTTAATGATATTTTCTTTCTTTGTTGTTAGGTGATCTAGTTAATTTTTGTACACCTTTCAAACAGCACTGAAGCAGATTTTTATTTTATGTTTCAGTTGTACCTACACAACTATTATTAGCAGCACCCAGTAGCTTCCCAAATGCAAATGTTTCTATACTTGCAACATGCCTACGAGGTTAAGTATTTTGACCTCTGCTTTACCCATGCAGAGTTGAGACATGGAAAGATTAAGTACCTTMCTCAAAGCTGTTCAGGAAATCTGTGGGAGAGGTAGTTATGATACCAACAGCGTCTCCGTAACAGTTCTGTTTCACAGTCATAAAATCCTCTTCCTTCTGTGGCTACACTTTTGCCTCATTCATTGTCTATTACTACTTCTCTCACAGTAATTACGACGGGAGTTGATATGGTCATGTCTCTGTATTCAATCTATATTGAAACTCATAATGTACCATATAATGCTTATGGATAAAAAGGAGCACAAAAACTGGACTTGAGCCTGGAATCGTTTCACAGCTCTCAATTTCCACATTCACAATGAAAGAAGCAGAAGTACTTCAGAAGAAWATATTACATGGCAGTCTTAAAACACATTGTGCTGTGTAAGTGGTGAGGCTCCAAACTGACTGTCAGTGTTGTATTTACTAATTTTCAGTATTTGATTAAGGGATCTTTGAAAATTTAAGTTCCCGCAATGCAGTGTTTTTTCAAGCTGTTCCCTTAATTTTTAAAACGTAAGCAGGAAAGGACTCCCATTATATTAATCTCTTGCTATACATACCACGCATGTGATACAGACAATAAAGCAGGAGCCACTGGCATGTCCTGTRTCAGAACTTGCATTTTATGGAAGAAGCCTCCTGCAGAGTGTTGAATCTTTCTGTCTGTGACACACTGCTTTTTTCCTCATGCAAGTCTGCTTATCTTAGGGCAAGGCATAGCCCAGCTTACAAGCATTCCTGAGAAATGAACGCATGTGCRGGATCAATGGAATGGTGGCATACCACTAACAGTTCATGTTACAGAGCCCATTTTGTAGAACACACATTTTTATGGACAAAATTGCGGCTTGTCTTTACAACCTGCCAAAGGGCATATCTTTGATGTAGACCCGATATGTCAACTCACTTTGTACTTTGCAGCAGACTACAGCAGTGCTTATGTATGACCTGGGCATTATCTCCATGCCAGTTTTCTGCTTTTTGTGTCTGATAGACTGAGATAGAACACTTAAAAGAATTAGAGCAAAAGAAAATCTTTCAAGGAAGGAGGAGAAACATCCTGTCTTTCCTCTGTCTTTTAGTTGATCCTCATTTGATGTAACTGTATTGTTGTTTTCTGGTCATACATGGAACTCATTAAAATTGCATAGAAGGGTTAAACACTTGAATAGTTAAAGCAATTGGTAGTGATTCCTTTCAGATGGAAAAACCTCTATCTGTTTAGCTTCTCAAGGGCTCTCAAGCTCTTGCTGGAAGTCCTGAAATAGTGAATTCTGCTTCTTAAAAATTTAATGCCATAAAATTCTGCGTAAAAACTATTGAAATGAAAAATACTGAGAACAAAACATGCCCAAGGATACTCTGCCACTTAAGAACTGATGACAGTTTTAAGTAGGCTGCAGTGATACAACTTCTATCATTTGACTTCGAGACATGATCGTTTGTTATTTCTAGAAGGTGAACCAAAGGCCTGAACAGAAAGAGTGGAGACTGGTCACTTTGGGAATGCAGAGCTCAGAAGCAT